GCTTCAGGCATTGCCAATTTTGCTGCCAGTCATCGGCCGTTGTTGTTGTTGTGTTTCTTTCTGCTGTTGTCGTTGACGACATGCGAAATTTGCTGCCATTGCCGCGTCACTCACACAAAGCAGCACACACACACCCACACCCACACCAACATTGACACCAACACTCACACCAACACACTTATGCGGCTCTTTTAGCTTGCGGGTGTTGGCTGACTGCTGCCTTCTGACTGCTGCCTGGCATAATTTAATAGAGTCGGTAATATCAATAAATTTTAAAAGCCTTTTAATGCGCATCGATAAAAATAACCATGGCGCATCTTTGGCGACATAATTATGCCTCGCTTGGGGTAAGCAGTAAGCGGCAATGCTGCATGAGTATCGCAGCAATGACATAGCATTACAACCACACTACCACACCACCGCCGCACAAACCGCTTAACCGCATGACTGTGGGCACTCTGGGCCTGGTTTTGCACCCCAGGCACATTGATTAACCATCTTTGTGCTGCTCGACTAGAAATTGGAATGACTGCCAACCAGTTTTATCACATTATGGTGGACAGCAGAGCCGAGCCAGGCTTCTGAATTGATAACAGCAGCAAAGGCCTACAATCATTTTAAAAGCTATGCACTTTTTAAAACAGATATTTTTTGTGAATTTCTTGACAACAGTGTGAGAGAATAAAAAAGAAAGAAAGAAAAGAAATGCTATAAAGTAATGCAAACGAATGAAAGGCTTATAATAATTTTAAAAGACGTACATTTCTTAAAACATATAAATTTTTTTTTCAATTTCCTAACAGAACAGTGTGAGAGGATTAAAACAAAAGAAAATAAAATAAATTCAACAATGTAATGGAAGCGAATGCACAAAAATGCAGACTAATATGGACCCTTAAATTTTACCTCCAAACAAATCCAGGCAAACTAATATCTAATTTTGAAATATGGCTAAATTTTGTTCATAATAAGTTTATAGTTTATTAAACCTGTATGTTGAAAATTAATGGGAAATACAAGAATTGTCCATAGTTTACCTCTATACAACACATATACTTGTACAATGCAATATTCACAAAATTTTGTGCATGGCACTTCTTCACGATGTTAGAATGAAAATCAGTATTAAACAAGTTCTTGACACTGGATGCCAACGATGTAGCCAAATTACTTTATAAGATATTAGTCATTGATTTATTTTATTTTATTTATTTAGTGATATTTAAAAAATGCAGTACAATTTCATAAATATGAATCAAATTATTTGTATTTTATGTTCCAATGGCAGTTATATTTAATAACTGTGTATATGTGTTTTTTATTGACTTGGTATGCATTTTGATAAGTGGCTGCTTTGGTTAAAATCTCTTCGCAATCGAATTTATATCACCCATTGCCGAACCCATCCGATCTTGCAAAGAAAATGCTGTATATACCCGAAAAAGATTTTGGATTCTCTTTGACTTCCTAAATTTTCACTATACTCGTATCCTTAAATGGCACAATCTGAACGAGGAGAGGGACAAAAACAAACACATTCTTTACATGCATATTTATTTCCACGTTAAGTGGATACGGGAATCTAAGAAAAGCACAAGCATCTCAGATTGAAATCCCTATGGAAGCTTGAAACACCAGATCAGCCAAACGGAACATATTAAAATGAGTAGCAGGCAGGCAGCTAAACAATCAAAAATAGTGTTGAGCACTGAGCTTTATCCAGTCTTTCATATTCAAGCAAAACCGCAGGCGAATCCAAGCGGGCAACCAAAAGGCGCGGCCCAACTGAAGATGTGCTCAGCGACTGGGCGGCAAAGACAATGCCAGCCCAGTAGCTAAATGAAAAAAAAGGGAAGTACACCGAAACCCATGGCAACTGAAATGCAACCAACGAAAATTCATGGCATTAGGGGAATGCCAAACGAGCTGGGCAACCAGATGCAGATCCAGCAACAACATGAATAGCAACAACAACAACAGCAACGGCAACAGCAACACAACACGGAGGCGATGCTCTGTGGCTGAGTTGCTTGTTGACGATTTGGTAACTGCGGCAGCGGCAACTGCAGCTGCTATTGTTGTTGCTGTTGTTGTTGTTGTATTGCTGTTACATAGCAACTATTGGCCATGGTCATAGCAGCGCCTTGACTACGGTTTGTGGTTTATAAAATATTTAAACGTTTGTGGCTTTGGCCCCAGCATATTTGCGCCAAAAAGTATGCAAGCGCAACATTTTGAAACTACTTTGCTGCATATATTACATACACGAATATGTATATGTATGCATAGAATGTGTGTGTTTTTATAAAGTGTGCGATTTCTAAAGTGAACGATAAATTGTAATAAAATTGATCGAATGTGAACATATGCCAAACTAATGTATACAAGTATTTTACAATTTCAAATACAATTTAAGTATTATTAAGTATTTTTATTTATTTTATTTTATTTATATTATATTAAGTATTATTAAACAAATTTTAAAAGGGAAACATTAAACAATTGCATTAAAAAGATGAAAAATTAAATGAAACGAAATGAAGTGTAGGTAGAATGGGGGAAAAACACAAAAGAAACACAAAACTGTATCCTCAAAATTACATTACAGTATTTGTAAATCAAAATACCCATCGACTTGTTAGAATCTAATATCCATAGAATAATTTGCTAGTAGTAGACTCTTAAAAAGAAAAGTCAAAATTGAGAGTAATTGATGATTAATTTATTTGTTATTTGGTATTTGTTATTCTATAGTGAAATATGTAAGATATTTCTGAATTTTTCAATAAGTCGTTGTAACACATATAGTAAACTATCCTTAATATATTTAAATAAAATGTGGGAAATAGTAGATAAACAGATAGAATAAAGTACAGTTGAATTGAATAGAAGAGTGTCAGGCTCAAACATTTAATTCGAGAAACAATATCGTGTCACTTGTAAGAGATATTCCTTATGTGGAAACTACACTGTTGTCTATTAGCATTTGACTTAAAATATAAAATGATCGCGAAAAAGTTGTACAAGAGACAAGTTCGTGCTGTGCGCCTTAGTGTATGCTTTTCATTTTATGCGATAGCTGGCCAGCTGTTGGCCTGCTTAAATATTTATTCAATACGCAGGAACTACAAGTACAACAACGCGGCTTATCAACTTGACAAAGGCGTTGTCGATGATGTGCACGACGATGGGGACGACGATGAGCAAACATTGTCATTGTCAAGTCTTGGCTGCCCCAGTGCTGCCTGATATGCTAATACGGTTATGGTTAGTGCTGCTGCTGCTGTTCGTGCCTCGCACAGTGCGGCTGCTGCTCCCATTCTTTGCGGTCGTCGGTTGAGAAAATTTCATTATGCCAATTACTTGCATCAAAGCTGCTTGGATAATTGACTTTGCTTAGCGGCAGCCCTGGCCCCAGCAGCCGCAAAGGCAGTGGGGCCCCCAACCCCATCGTCCTTAGCCACTTTAGCTGGTGGTGCATGCATTAAATGCTTTTTGTAGATGTAGTTGGGCTTAGTGGCTTGTCACATTGCATATTAGCTGCTGAAGTTGACTTGACTTGACTTCCTGCTTGTGCCACTTTGGCCCATTTTGGGGCATAAAATAATTAAACTTAATTGACAGTTTTTTGTTGCTGCTTCTTCACCTCTGGGTGAAAGGTGCACTGCAGTACCCCTGGAGTCGTATGAAGTGAGTTAAGTACTGGCTTAGATTGAGCGTGAATTGGGACACACAACCATCAAATAAGTTGCTCTTTCGAGTTTGTTCGGTAAACAGATTGTACCTTCATATCATGTTATTAGTTGCCCCAAACTTTATCAAGTTTTCCTGGCCTTTCTATTGGAATTATTTTTTTACATTTTCTTCACACTCTAAATTCGATTTTTTAAATGTAATTAACACTTATGTTCAACATGTTCTTTCCCCTCCCGTGTGTACTCTGCATATGCTTGTACTTTTTTATGCTTTCGTTTTGCTTACTTATCCACTCACTCCCAAAGTAAACGTCTTTTAAGTTTATGCACTGCTGCCCTAATAATAAACCACATTTTTAATACCGCCTTCAAATTTTGAAATGGGCGACACGACGTTTCCTTTTTATGCCTAAGAATAATGGTCAAATGAAATTTGGCGTATAAAATCGCAAAGCCTTGAGCAGTTATATTGCTTTTACTGATGTTGGTGGGGGGAAGACGGTGGCTAGGCACGTAAACAAACCATTTGGGTGAGCTTAAATATTTACAAGTTGCGCTAAGCACTTCATTTTCTATGACTCAATAGCAATTAAACAGATAGACGTGCCAATAATGGGCTAAATTCAGGGATGGATTTTATTATTTATCCTTATATTGGTATTCATAGTGGATTTAGTTGAGTGGTTACTTACGAAAACAGTGATGGAAAAGTGCTTTTAATGCATACTCCAAATGCTCAATCAACAAATTGTGCTGTCGATTCAGATCTAACAATAATGATATATAATAATATAATGTTATAATTTTAACTTCACAGAATGAATAAATAAATAAGAATATTGAAGCTGAATGTCCAGCCTGCCACGCACTCCGAATGGAGGAAAACGGGCTTCAACATTTGGGTGCAACATTTTTTATACTGAATAGTTTAATGTGAGAATGAAGGAGATATATAAAGAAAGTTGTAAACACAAATACTTAGCCCAGGAACGACGGACAATACTTGCCTGTCTAAAAATACAGTTGGGATTTTGAGTTTATTTATAAAATTACTTTGTTGTTTTTTAGAATAAAAAGTATTTAAAATTTATAAAATTAATTTCAAATATTGCTATTTTTGTTATTTTACATTTAATAAAAATGTTATTTCTGTCGCCGATTATAATTTTTTTATTACCAATAATTGTGATTGTGTTGGAAATCATATTAATAAACATTGCTGGGTTAGCTTTGTAAAAGTTGTCGAAAACTTTCGACATTATTGCTCAGACCGTGTTCGATAAAAATTGGTAGTGTTATAAACTTTTGTTCAAAATTTTCTGCAATTATTATTGTAATTTTTTTTAATGCATTTTACTAAATTGGCTGTACCATGAAATACTATCCTAGTCCCGATATTTCATTCTATGTGGACAAGCCCTCTGGCTGGGACCACTATTTGCGATATGGCCCACACCACAGCTGGAAGCTTCCTAAGGCCGACTTGCCGAGAAGCAAAGTCATGTATTACTGGCGAGACATCGATGGCGCCAAACTGCCTGAAATAAAGCGCAAGGACTTATACTTCGATAAGTGGCCGAAGACGCGTATACGCCCGCAAGCCTGCCTGGGCATGCTCTATGCCACAGGCTATCGATTCATCAAGCTGACCCAAGCGCCCCCCGGGAACTTCAAGTGTGCACCGCTGCCGGTTAATTTGGCTACTGCTCGTGTGCTGAAAGGTATGAGGATTACTGAGTTAGTTAGTGGTTTGGTTTGAGTTTTCACCTCTCTGTTGTGTTTTTGTGCAGTTGAGCTGAAGAAGCGGAAGAAAGCAGCTGCAGCTGCTGCTAAGAAGGCCAAGCAGGAAGCAAAAGAGGCCAAGGCTGGCAAAAATAAGGCTGGGAAGAAGAAGAAGAAATAAGAAGAAAGATAAATGATGTAAATCGTAAATAAACCAAGATTACTCTGGCATTTGCAGCACGCAGCTTCGCGCCCACTCATTTAATTTATTTTTTTTCACCATGTCAACGAATTCTTCGAACTAGAGATGAGGGCGTGATCTTGAAGTTTCTTAAAGGTCAACCAAAAAATCACCTGCTCATTAGAACCGACATCTTGAGAATGAAAATATTTTAAAAGACCAAGTACTGCGGAATTGAACACAAAATCTTAATAAATAAATAGATCACTTGCTGATTAAAAATGAATTCATGTGAATAAAAATATTAAAAAATACCAACTACAATTCTGAATTGAAAATAAAATCTCAATAAATAATAGCAGAAAAAGTTAAAGATCTGAAGCAAGACTCTAAAAGATGTTTTTTTTTTTTTAAATTCGAATATTTAAAAATTAAGCACCGATCTAGTATTTCGATTAGGCTCAAGAATCTTGCAGAATTTGTACCTTTTTTAAAAAAATATATTAAAATGTGTGCAGACGAGTTGTTTTAAGTAGGAATTTAGCAGTTAAGTTAAGCCCAAGCAAATTTAATATCCAATCACTAATCAAATATTATTGATATTGCACTTGAAGATCAGAAATCAACACTTTATTAACATCATATTGGTAGTATGTATTATCTAGATTTGATGTGCCCAATAATTTTCGATTTCGTGACTGTGTATGTATGGGATTTTTGGCACACCCATCCATCCATCTCTAGCTCAAGTTTCAACTGCTCAGCTTTTAACCAACGAGCGCACCAACCTTTTGCCTGATTGGCTGCATTGCTGCATTTAATCGAATTAATTAATGGCTCATTTCACATTCATCATTTAACAGGCTGCATGCCGCCTTCTCCCTTTCTGCTGTGCTTTGTATTTTGGTTACCTCACAGCCCGCAACTGCCCAGGACACCCATCAGCCATCAGCTATCAGCCATGCCACCCTGGATGCCGGCTGGCTGATTGCAATTGTACGGCGAGCACGCGTTTCATTTTTTACTCTGTTGTTTTCGGCACGAATCAACGAACTGCAAAATTCAATTGAAAATCGTTGAATGCAAGTTAATCAGTGCGCTTGGTTACGCTAATTATGCCGCCGATACCGCCAATGCCGCCTCCATTGCAGTGATGTGGCCAACAAAAATCGTCATACGCACTGTTGTACATAACATGTATGTACTTGTATGTACATCCGAGTGTACGAGTATGTGTGTGTGTATTTGAATGTGTTCAGGTTATATTGTGTGTACAAGCATGGATACATGCACATGATACTTACATATGAAGTTGCTGCCGCTTTTATGCTGAACTCAATTTGTTGTTGTCTAATGAGTTGCATTAAAGTCAATTATGCATGCGGCTTTTATTATGTGGCATATAGATAGTTAAACACAGGCTTTTAACATTTAAACGCATTATTGTTTGAATAAGTTGTAAAGCTGTTAATGCTAGAAAAATCCGAAAAAGTAAACAGCCACTGATGTACGTTTATATTGAAATCCTTTATTTCGTTTAATTCATTGTAGAGACTTCTGTTAGCCATATTCGAATGCAATCTAGTCAGAAATATTCGAATATTTTCAGAATTATTTTGTTTTGTTTTTAACATTTTACAATATTGAAAGACTGACACATTGAGATGAGCAACTTAATACGCACAGTGGGCGAAATGATGGAAGAGACTTAAATCAAAGAACATGATTGGTTTTTGTTCTATCTGTTTAATAAGTTGATAATAGAATATATTTCTTTTAATCAGTTTTCACTTTTTATTTGCATTGAAAAGTTATAAATTTAACTCAATTATCACATTCAAACATTAAAAAAATAGGCCATAGCTAAGAGCAACTCACTTTTTTGTCAATAATTTTAAATACGAATATATCAGTATATCGACGAATTAGCGCCCTATCAGCCGTTGATCAATGGAAACTGTTTCAAGACTTATTCCATTATTTTTAATACAAGCTTCACTTGAGTAAACCAAACACTATAAGTCTCTATAAGAAACAGATGCGTGCTAAATAAGCCTTCCTTAGCTTTACAACAAACATTCATTAATTTACCGATATTCCAGTGTAGTTAGTTATACCCATTGTACAACCCAGTTAGTCATGATATTTCTCGTGAGAAACTCACAAATATCACAATATTCCAGTTCAACAATACCAAAAAACTCCCTCACAATCGATTCCTTAGTTGCAAATTTTCGTTAAATATCCTACCACTTAGCAAACACAAGATGAGACAAATGTCGCATATAAAGCCAATGGAGCGGAAGCAATACGCCGAGGATCGGCAAAACTTTGTGTCCACACGCATGAGTCTGCCACTTTTCATGTTGGCTCGTAAGTACAGCTCCGATCTTTGTGCCACACAATCTGAGTTGCGTGTATTTTTGTTTTCATTCTACAGGCAATCGCTTGCGAGAGGATCACTTGCAACGGACAAAGAAACAGTTTAAGCTCGCCGGAGAACATTACAATAAGTATTGCAAAGAAGGTGGGCACTGGACAGAGGTATTCTCTCTATGAAGAAAAGAAACTAATTGGAATGACTACCCCGCAGAGAATAGAGGAGAGGCCGCCAGCGCTGCAACCTATGAGCATTACAAACATATTACAGGCTTTGACAAGCTGCCCGATCATCCCTATCCAGAGAGGCGTCCTCTGTTCTTTGATCGAAACAAGACAACTTTTCTCCCTTGGCAGCAAGCGCCCAATCGGTATGGAGTGCCACCGGTTCCATTTCTCTCGCAGTCTGGCACCAAGGGCACTGTATTTCAGAAGCTACACAGTAACAAAAGCATTAAGCCGCCTGTGGAGATGCCATATCAGTTCTATGAAGTACCGACATCGATTGAGTGCATGTCTAGTCCGGAGAATAGGCATAAGGGTGTCTTCTTGTCAAGTAGGTTACTTTGTTTTTCCATTGCTCTCCTATATTTCACGATCCATTGCCACGCCATCAGTGACAGTGTGTTATTTCCTTTTTTTGCGAGCATTATAGCTATTTATAACGGTGTTTCTAGCCATTTTCTACCCTTTCTCTAGCTACTTATAATTATTTTGTATGTTTTTTTATCCGGGTTTCTAGCTATTCATAGCGGGTTTTAATCCATTTTCTGGCGATATTCTAGCTCGATAACCGAAAGCAATAGTCATTCTTTTCAAGCCACTTTACATCTGCCAACAATCATTGATTAATAATTATAAAGGCTCCCTTCAATAATCTACAAAAAAACACAATTGAAATGAAACCATCCGAATACAACCATTAAGCTTCTTTGCTCTGACATAGATTCAAGCTATACACTTGATTTCAAGGGCGTAGGCAGGAGGGCAGGGGGGCCCGTTGCCCCCCCCTAGAACATTTTTTGCCATATAAAGTCGACCACACGTTCATTATTATGACGCATTATTTCGCCTTAAAATGGATCTGAGTTGGATTTGTTGAAGTTTTTTCATTAATCCTATGCATAAGTTATTTTTTAAATGTATCGTGCACTATTTAATCAAAATTTTAATTTTTTGGTCCCCCCTTTGGTAAAAGCTGCCTACGCCCTTGCTTGATTTAATATATGAACTGTTGAATTGCAGATGCGCGTGATCGTCGACCCACTTCACGTTTTATGGTTTCGAATCCAACCAGCTGTTGGCGCAATCCCAACGAGCCCGGCGCTACCAGCCACTATACAAAATATTATGAATTGGCTGCTAATATTAAGTCAGTCATAAAGGAGCAGCCACCGAATCCGCATCTATTTTTACGGCACTCTTGCGTCCCAACGAAACCGAATTTGCTGATAAGGCGCCACTTAAGCTTCGAGCCGGCCGTTGGCCGTTATGATGTACGCTTCCCTAATGTTTGCCCATGTGCGGCAGGCAAGATAAGTGTCCCCAATCTACAGATACTGATCAATGATCAGAAGCGGCTCAAGTTCCGTAGGTTGCCGTACACTCGGATCAGTAGTAAGCAGTTATGCGAACCGGACTGGCGGCATGTGGTGGGCAAGGGCCATACATATAGGTTTCGTATGTCGAAGCGAGATATGCCCAGGATAAAGCTGAAGAAAACCGCAGCGGGCGGCAAGAAGCCCGAGAAGCACTTGAATATGTTTGCTGATGCAAAATATTTGAATATGCTCACGCAGCCGCAGCGTGCGATCATTTCGAAGCGTGAAATAGCTCTGCCGCCGTATACGCCACGAATCGTTTTCAATTCAGTGGCTAAACGTGTTGTTCGGAAGCAGTTGCGCAACAATAAGAAGATCGCATTCAACAGTGGCCAGGAGCGCTTCAAGGATGCTGATCGACCCATGCAGCTAACGGTGCGTCAGCTGGAGGCAATCAAGGCTAGACTGCCACCGGAGCGTCGCCTCGTTGATCGCCCGCTCGATTTGCGCAAGTCAACGATCGTGAGCAAGCTGATGCAAGTGCCCGATCACCAGAAGGTGGCCTACATGCCCAAGTTGCGGAAACGCCTGTTTAAATTCTTACCTGTGCCTGCCGCACGTGTTCTCGTCACCGATAGCGATATTAAGCCTGACATTCCGTACGATCCAGATCATCCGACTGGACTGTTTAGACAGAGGCTAGACGAGCGCACCTTCTTCCGCGATAGTGTGCTGGAGCAGTTAATGAAAACTGAAAAAGTGCAAATCGAAAAGGATTCAAACCAGACATCCAATATGTCCATCACCTCGAAGGCATCCAAGCATTCGCTTCGTAGGCACGGCAGTAAGCGGTTCGTTCTACCTGCTGAATAGCAGGAATAGCAAACAGAAAATGGTAACTCAGTTTCATAGTTCATCGCTTTAACAATTACAATTCTTGCAATTACGGAGTATGGAGGTGATCACTGACTAACGGTTACATAGTTTATGATTTATGTTCAACGCTCGAGTAAATTTTTGCAGCCACCAACTGGGTGGAGGACGCGCACACGGTCGTTGCATGTGTGCCGTGTGGTCATAAAACAGTCGCAAGTAACTTTTGACCATAAAATAAATAACTTTTTAACTGTCGGTGTGACTGTTTGTCTGTGTATATATATGTACTATATATAGTACTTGTATGTATGTGTGTATACGTGGTAGTAGGCAAGCCAAAAAAGGCCAACTTACGGCCGACAACGAGCAGCAGCAGCCAGCACAAAATAATTAAGTTTTCTAACGTTTTACTGAATCTCTGCACGGACCCTAGTCTCCCATCCACAGAGCCGAGGCCTGAGGCCAGGCTACGTGCGTGCACTCCACATGTGGCCCTTAAAATTATACATATACTGTATGTATGTATGTATGTATGTACATTGATACACACACATATGTATACCCGTACTAAGTATATCTGCTGCAAAGCTATCTAACTGCCGACTTCGTGCTTGTCTTGCTCCTAGATTGTAAAACATAATCTGTTATCAATTATTTTAGCTGCTGGCCCAGCATGAAGAATGGGGCCACGAGGTTGTCTACAAAACATACACTCACACACACACACACACACACAGATAAATGTATATACCTATATGTATTTGCAATGCGCTCACGTTGCAGTTTTGTTAAAGAAAAAAGTTTGCCGTTGCTCATATCGTATATTTATGACTTGGTTAAAATTTTGGCATGTAAGCAATTTAATTTTCCGTGCTTCAGTTTATTATGTAGGCTATAAAAAATTGCGTTCCATTTTATGAAAAGGGCGATGATAAGAGCAAATCTGAGATGACTAGTAGATATTGAAAAAGTGATAAGGCGAGTGAGAAATATTTTGTTTTCAAAAATATGATAACTAATTAGTTGAAGGAGGCATGCAAATTATTCTTATAAAAATAAACTCTTTGGTTTATTTATTTAATTACATATATATATTTGAAAAGAATAATAAAAATGGTTAATTTTAAAAATAAAATTAATAATAACATGAAATTACCTAATAATAAGCTCGATATGATTAAATTTGTAATGACTAGCGTAATAATTTAAAAGTAACCCGATAATTGTAACGCTAGGATAAGGTTTATAAATAAATAAATGAATAAATAAAATAAATTAAACATAAGTGTAACTTGGAATTAAGTTTAAAGTGCAATATAGAGAATGGAGATTTTTAGTGAGGTGCACTGATTTGTGATGAATTGTCAGAGAAATGTTGAACTGTAAGGGTAGATCTATTTCAGTATGGATAGTGAGAGTGTGTGTGTCCTAATCTGGGTTCTTTTAAATTTCATTTCTATTTAAAACTAATGGATTTAATTGTGGTCCTAATCGGAGTCTTGTGTAGATAAGTGCATCTTTTCTGTTTATTGGGATTGGAATATTTATTGGCTATGTTATTGCTTTTGAAAAAGTGATTTTACTCGTTTGAGATGGTTTTATAAATGGCTTTATTTGAGAGGACGAGGTTGCTTATGTTTCTTATTGTTGCACTCACACAAAAGTATTCACAAAACGGAAATTTTTTCATTATTGTTGGAAGTTAGTTCCGAAAAAAAGGTTGTTGACACATACATTGATCTATGCAGATGAAATGGAAGAACAATCAAAAAGATAACGGTTCATATGAGGGAGATGTAAGGATGAGTAGTGATGCCGATAAGTTGTCAGAAGTAATAACAAAAAAAATGCAGTTGAATTATTTATATTGATATGTTAAATTTTTCATTCATTTTTTATGTCAACTTCATTTCTATAACTAATACTTGTACTTAGTAACGCTGTCCTTCGCATTAATAAGGCCGTATTTAAAAATTCGACACTAGAATAGTAGCAAAGCAGTTTTCTATCATTATTTACTATTGGACGTATAACTAGGCCTCAAAATTGTAATGGGTTATACTTTTGTTTACAATTTTTTATAGTACCATCCAAAAACGTTTCAAATGAACTTGACTAGCACTTGGTAAGACGGAAAATATGTCGCTTAGATATCTTCGCAGGTGCCTACTGGCGCCTATTCGCAAAACTCTTGCACACATATATGCGACGCAGGGCATTGCTTCATCAGCTGTGCGTTCGTTGTCATTCGGGTATCGCAGCTATAGCGATAAAAAGGATGAGAAGAAGACCTGCACCAATCCCGAACCGAAAAAAAAACCCAAGCCCAAGAAGAAAGGAGAGTGTATGAGTTACAAGCCGGATCCATGCTCACCGGGGGAGGAGCCAAAGAGGAAAGATGCGAGTGTTGCGAGTCCTGCTGACAAAATTACCCGAAAACGCGAATTTCTTAAGACGAAAGGGAATAAAGGAAAGAGTCCATGTGGTAAGGAAAAGAAAGATAAGGACAAAGACCCATGCGCAAAGTGGAAAAAGCAGAAAGCTGAAGCTGAAGCAAAGCGAAAGGCCCTCAAAAAGGAACTCGAGGATGCGTGCAAAAAGAAGAAAGATTGTTAGACCTGACATACTATAAGCAAAATAAAAAAAATTAAAGGCAACTTAATGCCTTAAATAGTTCCAGTTATTTTAGTGGTTGTACAATGTACAATAATGCATTGGGCATATTTATACTCTGTACATGAAATGTACAAGAGTATATTAGGTTTGCGCGAGTTGAAAAATGTAACAGGCAGAAGGAGGCGTGGCAGACCCCACAAAGTATATACATTCTTGATCAGCGTGACAAGACGAGTCGATCTAGCCCTGTCTGTCTGTCTGTCCGTCTGTCCGACTGTCCGTCTGTCCGTCCGTCCGTCCGTATGATCACCTAGATCTCAGAGACTATAAGAGCTAGAGACACCAAATTTTGCACAAAGATGCCTTATGTGTGTACGCTATACGAGTTTGTTTTATTTTTTTTATTTTCCCCCCACTTCCCCCCTATGGGGGTTTTCCCGATTTTCCATTCGTATAATCGCCTATATCTCGGATACTATAAGACCTAGGAGCACCAAATTTTAGTCCAAGATGCCTTGTGTGAATACGCAGAAAATGTATATTTTGGAATTTCCCTCCCTACCCTCTTCTTCCCCGCAAATGCGATTTTCTCTTACTCGCGTAATTCTTGGAATTTCGAACTAAAATTTTGCAAATATCCCCAGTTAGTTATTATGTGTCCGTATGCAAAGTTTCACTATGATAGACCGATGTAACAAGAAGTTATATCCATAAATATATTTGCTGTTGCAGCGCTGCTCAAGCGCTGCCCGCGGCTGTCGTTGATGTTGCTGTTTAGTTGACTGCGAAAATGCTTACACTGACACAAATAGACGCGCAAAAAAAATACATACACTCACATAGACGCAATTGCTTTGTATATGTGCAATTATATACCCTTTACTTGAGTTCGAATGCCGAGAAAGGTAAAATCGATCAAATTTTTTTAAAATTTTCTTATTTTTTTTTTTTTCTATAATTATTGTAAGCATATGTACAGAGTATTTCAAAGTCGGGACACCCGACTTTAGTTTTTTTACTTGTTTTTTTTTTTTATAATAGGGATAAATAATTCTGCAATATTTGTGATCACACTTATTATGTACAGCGAAGCCAAGCTACAGGCTCCAAAGTCAACACAAAGTCGAAATTCAACAGTGAGAGTAAATTATAAGCTAAAGGCAAGAGAAACAGCTAAATAAAAATAAAAGAAGGAAAATACAAACATGACGTCGTGTTGAAATGAAGCTGATTGTGCGCGAAAAGTTTCTTTGTTATTTTATTTTAATTTTTTTTTATTTTTCGTTCGTATCTGCTGTAATAACAACAACAATAGGACAACGCACAAATGTTGCCTGCCACCGTCATCGCACGGTTTTCGGTTAACATGAATTATTATTATTGTGAAGAACCAGAATAAGGGGAAGAAAGGGGTAGGAGACGGAGGCGGGGAGCAGGGAAAGAGTTTCCAACTAGTTCAAGATGAAGTTGTGTGGGTGGTGGGTGGTGGGTGGGCTGTCTGTGAAGGGGCAGCACAATAAAAAACCGGGTTGCATTGTCTTGGCTTGCAACTAATGCCGCGTGCTTTTTGTGCGGCAAGAAAACAAATGAGCCCCACCAACATACACAAACATAAACACACACCCATTCACAAACACATTCATAAGCATTCAGCGAGTGCCGCAAGTCTATGAAAGTTGCCTCTGCCTTCTGTTTTGTTTGTGTCGACGACGACGACGACGACGACGACAACGTCAGCGACTTGCCATTTTCTGTGGAGATTTTTATATGGGTCACGGGGTCGTAGCGTGTGCAAATTGCAACATTCTTTGCTTTTGCCTTTGTGTATACATATATATATATATGTATATATGTGTATGTGTGTGTGTGGTGGTGCGTCGACATGTCGACTTTACATTTTCAAATAATTTCTGATTAAGCGCATTGCACGAAACCGACCAAGCAGCCAGCATTTGCCTCGGCCTTCCAACAACACCCCACGACGCTGCAGCTACAGTTACAGCTTCAGCAGCCATCATGCTGTTTGACAAACGCAACGGGTGGCAACTCTGGCAACATGCTGACATATTGCGCTGCATAATTTACCGTTATTGTTGCTACTGCACTGCTATTGCCGTTGTTCCTTTTGCTTTTCCTTTTGCTTTTGCTGTTGTTTTTGTCACCGAGTAGCCGAGTGCAACTAATTTTTGAAATGCAAACGGTTGCAAAGCCACCAAGATTTATGCACGCAAAAATTATGCTTTAAAAGCTGAGCATATGTCTTCGTTGTTGTTGGCTTAAGTAATTTAATATACTTTAATATCAGTTCTCCCCCTCCTCCTCCTCCTCCACTCTCCCGTACACATACTCATACACATACTCGTACATACATTCACATACGCATGCATATGTAATGCATATTAGTGTATGCGCATATAAAAGACGCGCATTACGGGAGCGTGAAATGTTGTGGGGGAACGCGCAGATGTCTGTTATATGTTTGTATGTGTTTGTGTGTAAGTGTTTACTTAAAACAGAAACAGAAACAGAAACAACAACAACAACGCCTAGCAAAATGTTCATAAAAATGCAAATGTGCAAAATAGCGCAAAAAAAGCAAGATGAAAAAGTAGCAGAAAAGAGACAGAAATCATAATAAA